ATAAATAAGCACTAAAAAGGCAATTGCTTGATGTGTATTTTTAGAAGAGCATACAGCACTCTTAATTATGACTAAAGACTCGATGAGAGTGTTCTATGCTATTACTAACTATCAGCGAGATTCTATAATAGGTATGTATTACAGGTAGCTACGGTAAAACTACTATAAAAGAAATGAAAGTGATATCTTTTTAAATAAGTCTCTTTGTAAGAATATTTCTATCAATTCACACTTTAAGCTGTTGCAAATGAAGGCCAATAAGTAGCCACATGAATAGGAAGGATCACAAGAGTTCATTATTCCCCAAGAAATATTTCATCGTCTATATCATCCCCCTATCTATTACATCGTTTATTCCATCCGAATTCCATCACCTATTTCATTACCATTTTCATAAGCGTATTCCATAGGGGTTCATCAAAATTGAAATTTTTTAACAGTCCCGACCGTATTATTGGCATCTTAGGGCCAATCATATGTCAGTCTTAGCAAAACAAATAATTCTCTCGACCAACTTCTAATCATACGCATCAACCATTTCCCCAGCCGATTTGAAATCGAAAAATCTTAAAATACATGTTTTATTATAGTATCAATTTTGGTTGATTCATGAATTGACATTCCAATTGTGGACCTTTATATAATTAATTTATGATTTACTTAGCATTCAAAGCTCATCAAATCTTGATCGAAATTCTTACTCAGTTCCTTAAAAAGGTCAAAATTAATCCGTATTCTGGAGCATATATCGATATAAAATAAAATTGTTATCTAAAAAATTCCATTGTCATTTTGATAAAGAAATTGGTTGTTCTCCATCTTTTTAGCTTTAATCCCTTATATTTTGTTCAAAAAAATAATATTTTAGTTCGAAATTGGGATGCTATAATCTTAATATATAATTTTAGATTGCTTCTGTGCATAATTTGTTGATCTTTCTAACTGATACAATAATTATTTAAAGCTTTTGAAAATATTTTGATATCTTGTTGAAATTACTCATCAGGTGTTTGAATTAATGAGTGACAACTTTAAGCCTTTATTGATTAAGCTATTATTTGAAACTCTCCATAGTCATTCTATCCATAGAATTTTATTAGATAAAATTTAGTGGAATTTAACAACTCATTTTAAGGGCTTTTTTAAAGTCCTATCTCCCGTAAAAATTTATCTAATTAGAAACTCTCAGGATTAAGAAATTAAACATATGATGTAAACTTCTTTATTAATTTGGCATAAAACTCAGATTGAATTTCTAACAATAAATCTTCATCTTTTATGTATGTTTTTTGGGTTTCTAAACAAGTTAAACTTCTTAAAATTGTTATTCTGGTTCACCTTACTAAATATTTATTAGATTTAAAAAAATCTTGTTAAAATATTGTAACTCAATCATTAATCTATTTTAATTTTTTTTTGAGTGTGATGGTTATGAGTTTTCAGGAAGTTATTATTGACTATTTTAAGAATCTGGTTTTGTTTTCAATTGTTATTATTATAATTTATTGCTTAAAACAAAAGTATTTTTGATTTATAATTGTGAAACTTTTGTTTTGAAATGACTAAATTTACCTTCACTATACCGTAATTTTAAAAACAATAAAGACTAATCCAGTGGGTTCTTGCTCTTCATAGCAAATTAAATATTCCTATTGTAAATCTTTTTATTGAAGTTATTAGCTGAAGTCTTTTTAGATAAATCTAGTTGTTATTATAAAAGTTAAAAATGATTTTAATCTTATTATTAAGAACTATGCTACTTGTAATCATTAGGAAGTTTTTTGATTTTTTATTTAACTTCTTGCTTGTTTATCTTAGAGTCTTTTGATTATTATTATTATTACAAAATGAATTTTCTTGAATCTGTTTTCTTCCAAATTCTTTAATATCTTTCATATATTGCAGGTACTAATGGCTCCAATAAATATTATGAGGTGATAATCAATTAAAACGTTTTATCTACCTTCAATTCAATTTTTCTTAAAATTTTTGGCAAATAAATTGAATTGAAATCATTTAAAACATACCTATGCATTTAATACAAACTCTGTTCTCGCTGATTATTGTTAATAGGATGAAAACTATAAAATAAAAAATTTATCTATATTTCTAAGTGAATTTCGGAAAGTATAATTGAATTATTTAATTTGTTTGTTTCAAATCAATTTGTAAATTCTTAAATATAGATTTATCTAGGTAAATATCTGCCAAAAGAGACAAAATCAAAGTCCTTTCACTATGAGGTTCAGAATGGTATTTATAAAAATATTGGAATGGTTCAGTTTATGATACTTATTTGCCAAAGTCATCTTAAAACCAAATGTTCTATAAATTATATATCTTAAAATTTTCCTATTGGTTGTTTAAAATCAATTAGCAATCCATCCTTTTATTAGGATACAAATCGTATATTTCCGAATGCTATGTCATTTTTTCTAAATGCATATAAATCGCTTAAAGATGCTGCTATTTTATTCTTTTAAAGGTTAAACAATTCAAAGTACGTGATAAAATCTTCCAAAAGAATTTTATAATCTAATTTCATACCAACAATAATTTTATCCAGATAATCTACAAAAATGTCCTCGCTAAAATATTGTCGCCTTGGAACATTATGGAATATAAGTTAGGAAAAGCATTAATGATTGAGTTGTTATTGAAAATATTAACTTTACATATCCATTAATTTTGTATAATACTCATCCTTCTTAAAGAATTACACATATTGAAGAAATAGTTCCTGCAGATCACTTCTATAAAAGATCAAAGAAGCAATATAGTAGCTTAGAAGAGGGGGAAGTTAGAAAGGAGCAGATACCTGAAATCCAAATTCGAAAGCCAATTATACAAGGCTTCCAACTAAAGAATATCTGACTAAAAACTTCTGAAATTCTCTAATTTTACTTCATCTTTTCTCGTTTTGCAAATATCATTCTCTTTCCTCTCAAACTCATTTTATTGATTTGGGTTAATTTAATTTTGAGTTATTTTAATTTGATTATGAGTTACTATCATTTGGTCTTTCTA